GCCCAGAACTGGACACAATACTCCAGCTGCGGCCTCACCAGGGCTGAGTAGAGGGGCAGGATCACCTCCCTCGACCTGCTAGAGATGCTCTTCTTAATGCACCCCAGGATCCCATTGGCCTTCTTGGCCACGAGGGCACACTGCTGCCTCATCGTCAACTTGTCATCCACCATGACACCCAGGTCCTTCTCTGCAGAGCATATTTGGAGGTAGAAGGGTGGGAAATTATGGTATTGATTGGGTTGAAATAAATTAGGAATTCTACTAGAGCTCAGTAGGTTTTCTCTGGAGGCTTGTAGGGAAGGGGCTAGATTATTGCAGGCCTGGAAAGATGTAAGGGATTTGCAGCCTTGTTTAAACCAATGTGAATTTAAAATACATATCCCGGATATGGATGACCTGGCTTTTCTTCTCTAACAAAGAAGTTTGAAATCATTTTTTCCATAACGAATATATAGGGAATCAATTTCACCTGTTTCACCATACATCAGTGATTTTGTATTTAGTGTATATGTTTATATTCGCTAAAACAGCATCTCCAATTTCCCATTTCCGTGATAGGTTCTAAGTGCCAGACCAGACAGCAGTCCCTCTTATTTTTAGTTTAATACTGTTTTTTTGTAATTTAGAAGAAAACTGGAACATGAGAACTGAGTTTGAGAATTCTTAATAGGCCCAAGGCTACGGCACCCACATTCAATCAGCTGCTGGCAAGTTTTCTATCAACGTCTTCAAACAAACTCCTTCAGTTTGTGCTTTTTCACGTTGTTCTCAGTTTGCCTTTGCTACCCTCTTGGGTGTGGAGAAAAATGCCTTTAAAATATCACTCAAGTGATCAGAACCAATTTAGTCATTGGTTTTTGTCTGCTTTCCTCTCTTCTACATACTAGATATTTACATAAAAAGGAGACTCTCACAAAACTTTAACGTTAGATTTGTGTTTTATAAATCACCATTACGCTTGATTTTTTTCAAGTATCCTGCCAGTAAGGCAGAAGTAGAGCTTGTATTAAAAAACATATATTTGCACAAAGGAGTTGAAAGTAGATCTGACAGTGCTGTTAAACAAATTAGAATCCGTACTGCTACAGTTGTTGCTTATTTTCTTTATGAATTTCATAAAAACAAGCCCTAATAAGATTATAATTTGCATAATGCAACTCCTTTAATAGAAGCTTTGTACGTACATACAAAGTTAAAACGTTGTGTTTAATATATTTTTTCATAGTAAATATAGTTCAAATTCAGCCTGTGAAGTGTATTGTTTTGGCAGGCCTAAATTCACTCAACGGTCAATATTCATAATCTTGGAGACACTTCTGCAAACATAGCAGACACAAATCAAGCAAGTGGTTAATTCTGTCCTGGGAAAGCGGAATGTGAAGCGATAGCTCCAGTACAGTCTTTGCAGTTTCATTTAAAAGTTGTCATTGCCAAATTCGTTTTGGTTTGCGTTGCAAAAGTACACCCAGCTTTCAGTGTCTTCCAAAAAGAAAAAAAACTTCATGTTTGGATTCCTTGGAAATTCTTAATGTAATGGATTGACTGATACAATAACACAGTGATTAGGAGATCATTTAAAGCATGAATGTGTAAAGTGATACAAGATAAAGGCAGAAGCTGTGCTCAAAATAATACTGGGTACTGCCGTTGCAGTGTTCAGTTCAGTAGCTTTGCTCTCCCTTGCCTGGAAGTTGCTCGGGGGCTTCCTCTGCAGTTGGAGCTGCCAACACCTTAATGCCAGGTTAGCTGTGCTCTATACTAAGACCTTTTCACTTAATCTTTTCATGGAAGCGAAAACCCAATTAACAGGGAGTTGGGACACTGCTGATCTAAAGATCGGGAAGCGCCTCTGCATCCTGTAGTTTCAGGAGAGCCAAACAAGGATTAACCAGTGCGGGGTTCAGCCCGGTTTGTCCATAGAAGGAGCTTTGCAGCTTGGAGAAAATCCCCGGGAATGTTTGCGACGCGGGTGTTGCTGCCGGGCCGTGTCCGGCGGAGGCTCCCCCGCTGCCCCTGCCTGTTTCCCTGAGGTTTAGCAGAGCTGCTGCTGCTGCTGCGGGGCTGTGACTAGCCTGGCGTGGCTTCCGGGGGAATTGAGGGAAATCTCGGCCTCCTCCTTGGCTCTAACGCCAAGAACCAGGGTCTGTCTCGTGCCGTGCCAGTAGACCCTGGGAAATTTTGTTTCTTAATTGGCTTCTCCCTTTTCACGCTAATAAATTGCTCCTTGAAAAGCAGTGTTAAATTTCATGTGTTGAATTTGTCCTGTGGCTGTATCTAGTAACAATAATCACTTAGCTTTAAATTAAAATAGAAGTGCTGCAAAACTCGATATGAAAGGAACGCGTTGGAGATGACCTGTTGACCTGAAGTGCCTCCTGGAAGCTTAAGAAAGCCATATAAAATGTGTAGAAGGTAGGATGGGTAACGTCCCTTTAGAAACAAGTTATTGAATAAACATTCTTGCCAGATAAAACTAGGGTTAAAGTTCTTTTATGACAATTCCTTAAGGGACTGGCAAGTGTCTGCTTATTGACACGGTATTTCGCTTGTGCAGGAGAGATGTAGGTTGTTGAATACCTGGTAGTGTGACAGAAAGCGGAGCAGAATTTGCTGATAAGCTCAGTGGTTGCTATGAAAAATCACTGCAAGCTGCAGAATGTGTTGCAGATTCGCTAAAGAAAAGTATTTTTCAGGTTTAAAGGGAAAAGAAAGGAAGGAGATGCACAAACCCGTCAATAACTGATTCTTTAGAAGCAATAGTCACTGGCATAAGAATGGGAATGGCTTTACCTGAAGGCCTGTCAACGAAGAGGTGATGGAAATTGTGCTTATGGGAACTCAGCCTAAATTTCACTGAGTCAGAGGCTAAATGGTGTTTGGGGGGTTTCTGGTTTGGTTTAGGTTGGGTTTCCCTCTGCCTCGTGCAGTCCCAGCCCTGCAGCAGAGGTCGGTGCCGCCGCCTTGGCGCATGCGACACGGCCGCGGAAACCACGAGGAGCCCAAAATAAAATAAAACAAAATAAAAGGAAGGTACTGCACTTGCCATGTCTCACAACTCCGTTACGGAGTGGGGGGTTTTTGTGCTTTGTCTGTGCTCTTGCCAGCTGTAGTTTGTCAGACTGATGGAAAACAGTGACTTTGCATAAATTCCTGTAGGGTCCTGTTTTGTGTCAAATCATCACATTTAATAGGCTGTTGTCGCTAAATATGGGAGCCCTCATACTCCCTTCTCCTTTTCCTGCCCTTTTCTGCTTTCACTTTGCTCCCAGGCTCAGTCTTGCTGCTGCCCTGTCTCCTGCTCTGAGATTTGCTCTGTCCCCTGCAAGAGCTGATTTAACTCCAATGTGCCCCTAATGCAACCTTGCTGCTCTTCTAGTGCATGCCATTGGTGCAGACAGAGGTGAGAAGACTATCATAGCTGGCAAAAAGGATGAAAAAAGGGCAAAGGTGGAGAAAAGAGAGCGAATGATGCAAAAACACCTCTCCTAGGCAGAGCTGCTGCATCCCCTCACCTCGTTCCCTGCTCTTAGGTAGGGAAAATGGAGCAGGGTTGAGAGAGGACCTGGAGCTGCTGGTTTCAAGAAAGAACTTGCAAAACTGGAACTCCTGCTTCCATTTCTTGATCTCTCATTCCCCTGTGTTAATCCCCTTTCCTGTTACTGATGCTTCATTGAGAATAATATTTTTCCAGTTGTGAAGAGTTGAAATGTGACATGAATGATGAAACTGGATTAACTCTTAGTCGAGGAGGCTGAAGATGTTTTCTCAGGGAATTAATGATAGCTCTAGGAAGGAAACAGATTCTTCAGAGCGCAGTGAAACAGTCGTGGGAATAATAAAAAGGAACAAGCAAAGTGGCTGGATGGGTGAGAAATGTTCGTGTCTACGCGCTTCCAGGAAGGGCAGCATGAAAGAACTGAGTGGGATCTGCGTGCAGTCCTAAATGCAGAGCACTATGATGCAAACAAGTCTGGAAGCTGGTCTGGTTGAGAAATGATGGAGAAACAACTCCGTGGTTATGAGTCAGTAACTGGTGTTTCTCTATTATGGATAAAAGGGCTCCAGCATTGCCAAAATCGTAATTTAAAAATTGCACAATATGAGAAATGGTAAATCTTGAGCCATTTTCATCTGGTTGCTCTTAGTTGCTGAAGTTTAAAGCTGCTCACATTTTTGAAAGCTGGATATTTTAGAAGAAAAATGGCAACGGAGAATCTCTAAAAAGCAAATGACCCCAGCAGCTGGGGTTCTTAGGAAAAGTCCAGATATCTAGTGGTATATAGCAAAGATACAACAATATGTAGTGCTGCATTGTTATTATATATTTTTTTAGAAATGATTAAACAAAAAAGTCTTAATGCTGGTTTTACTAGAGCTTCTTTACTGCCTTGCTCATGCAGTTGGCTTTTCATGCTGGGTTATAGCTCGCCACTGTAGCTACAGAATTGAGCCATCCTATTTTAACACTAACAACATGTAGGTGCATATAGGTTTGGGGCAATTAGGTGATGCATTCATTGTGCATAAAGCGTTGAGCAGGTTGGGTTTAGTGCTGTCTCTCCGGACATGGCTTGGGGGAAAGCCTGGCCCTCTGCGTCGGCTCTCACCTTCCCAGCCTTGCCGACACTGCCTGCCGCTGCCTCAGCATAATTCTACTCCTTGTGTGACAAATAAATGGCAAAAGCCTTAAGACTTTGTTTCCATGAGACTACTGTTTATTATTAATGTCAGCATTTGTTTGTTATTAATGTAGTGGTGTTGTTGCTTCAGTCAGGTCCTTCTCCATTTCACTTGTATCCTCTCTTCATCACTTGCTGCCTCCTAGGTTTTAGTAGGTTCAGACTTAACTCAAGCTACCTTGCCTGGAAGTTGACATAAAATCAAAATATGTGGACTTTTTTTGGTGTTTTTAATGTATCTCAGTACCAGATTGGTATTTACAGTCTGCAGTGGTTACCCCTTCCCGTTACTATGTGCTGGTCCTGTGATTTTTGTAGGATTCACCTCTGTTCGATCTTATCAAGCAGTCGAAGGAACGAGAAGGCCAAGCTGATCAGCCCGAGCCTGCCTCCACTCTGAACCAGCCTCTGCAGCACAACCACACTGCAGCAGACCTGTAAGCAACGAGTGTGCCTGAAGCCTCCTGGGGGCTGCTGTCTGCCTTAATACTTAAATCCACCTGTATTCTGTTTTTGTACTCGTTAGGGTACAAGTTACGGGTGTAAGTTGAAACACAGGAGGTTCCACCTCCATATGGGGAAGAACTTCTTTCCTGTGAGGGTGCCAGAGCCCTGGAACAGGCTGCCCAGAGAGGTTGTGGAGTCTCCTTCTCTGGAGATCTTCCAAACCCATCTGGATGCCACCCTGTGCCATGTGCTCTGGGAGTCCCTGCTGGAGCAGGGGGGTTGGACTAGATGATCTCTAGAGGCCCCTTCCAACCTCAATGATTCTGTGAAGTTACGTTGACCCGTGTGTTGTATTTGCTACTGCTTTAAATATGTGTAAATCTTACTAAATAAATGTGGGAATGTTTTATCCAAGCCCATTGAATTTGTAATTGCAAACAATTGCCTTACTTGCTGGCAAGTAAGTCCTCTTATTTAGAAAAGTCTGTGAAATGGTTTTAGCTTGAACACACAGTTGAAGAAGGGGTGAGTGGAAGAGATGTGTGTGCGAGATTGGTGGTGCAGCTCCTTCTTTCTGCTGGCGTTTTGTCCTGTTTCTTTTGCTGTTAGGAGCTCTAACAGCAAGGAATACAGAGTGGCATTTATTTACTACCTCTAAATTTATATGGTATGGGAATATCTATTTACAGTGCCGATTCATTTCTCCTAGATGCGGGGAGAGGGAAGAGTTTGTGCAAGCATTAAAGACAAAGTCATTTATTCATCTTGTGATGTCAGTGCTTAACGCATGTTGAATTTCCAGGTATCTTTCTCCTGTGAGATCTCCAAAGAAGAAGGCATCTGGCCCTACTCCCAATGCTACTTCCCCTCCGGATGCTCAGGGCACTGCGACTTCCCAAACACAGAAGCCACAGAAATCTACCTCCCTCTCACTGTTCTACAAAAAAGGTTAGTAGCATCTGAACGTACTGAAATTGTGGAGCTTCTTGTTGTTTATCTTTCTGTGATTTCAGAACTCGGATTCTCCTCATTTTCTAAAATAGAAATCCGTAATAAACAAGCTTTACCAACCTTCATCTCCAATTGGAAGAAATCATAATAAAATGATATCAGTAGGTTCTTGCATGTACTCTACACACTATTAATTGAAAGCCAGAACTTAGCTGCATTTTGTAAGAAAGGCCATCTTGGTTCAGAGCTGTTGGTCTAGTCCAGAATCCTGTTTGCAGGAGTGGCCATGAATAGATGCCAGGGGGGGTTTAGAAACAGCTTCCCCTTGATTCCCAGCATTGACTTTTTTCAGCTTTGGCCTTTTGTGATTTGCCTGCTTAGTTAGTAGCCCTTGTGGATTTATCTTCCAAATGCTTATTTGGGCTCCTTTCGAGCTGACATGACTTCCACATGGGCAGCATCTTTCCATGGGGACTTCACTGCTTGTTGTCTGAAGACTTTTTCTCCCCTTTTATTTTGAAGTTGGAGGTTTAGAGCCTTCATTTCATTGCTGGTAGTAGTGGGAGACGATGAACTCATCATTGTCTGTCATCTCCATGTCCCTTTTACTTTATGAGGCTCTTATCACCAGTGCAGTTCATTTTTCTTCTCTTTTTCTCTAGTCTATCGCCTGGCTTATCTGCGATTACACACCCTGTTTCATCGGCTTCTCTCTGAGCATCCCGACCTGGAGCCGCTGATCTGGACCCTGTTCCAGCATACGCTGCAAAATGAATATGAGCTTATGAGAGACAGGCACTTAGACCAGGTAACATTAAAAAAAATAGCTTTTACATTTTGTTCAAAATAAATATTTTTTCTTTTGAACAAAATGGAACAAAATGTTTCTTGAAAATTCTTTATCCAATACAAATCATAATCTCTGTTTCTGTTTCTCTTTAGAGGTTGATGTAGAGGAAAGGGAGAGTGAAGTCTGTATTTGATCCCACCCTCTTGTCTTTTTTGAAGTATTGGCAGCTGAAATACAATCTATAAATATTTTCAAAATAAAGCAAAACAAAAGTTTTTGTTTGTATGAGAAAATAATGATTTTTTTTTTGGAAGGCAAAATGTGTTGTTATTCTACCGTAAAATTGAAGTGTATGGAATAGGCTTTTAAATGTGATTTGTGTTTGGGAGGATATTCTCAGCTGCAGTGATGAGTTGATGGCCTTTCAGAAATGAAGGGAACAGTTTTCTGACTTCATTTTCTGGATCTTTTTATTTTGTGCGTGTGTGTGATGTTGAGCAGCACCTGTTTGCAGCACACAGCTAGCAGTAGAAAGCCCGTAAACTGAGCTTTTACTTTTGCTTCGCAATGGCCATGAGTGCAATTTGTGTTTAAGGCAGCAGCAAAGCTTCCTTTGCTGTCAGGGAGGGTGAAATTGCCTTCTGTGTCAGAATAAAAACATGTAAACACAGAAGGACACAGGAGAGAGAGTAGCATCCCTCAATTTGAAATGTCTGACGAGCCCGACTTCATTTGCAGCATCTCCAATGGTTGTTCTTTGTTTCTTTCCTAGATCATGATGTGTTCCATGTATGCCATATGCAAAGTGAAGAATGTCGATCTTAGGTTTAAAATGATAGTTTCAGCCTACAAGGAGCTCCCCAACACAAATCAAGAGGTATGGAAATTCTTTAGTACTATCCTGCCACACAAAAAAGTTAGAAAATACTTGTTTTCATCTTTATCTCTCCCTCTCTTTCTCCAGGTGTACTAAATAATATTTACAGTTCTGTTGTGAGACTATGGGCCAGATTTCTAGACAGTTAAGTGTTTCACCTGAGGTGCTAATAGGATTTTCAGAAGCAGCCTGGCTTCCTCTGACAGCTACTGAGCTCCCATTGAGACTTGAGGGGAGATGAGCTGATTGCTCAGATTGCTTTCTGTAGATGCCTAAAGCAGAAATAATGGTATATATCATTATATACATGTATATATATATGGAGGCTTATTAAAATCACTGGCTTAATTCTAACATAAAGATGCCTCTCTGTTTATAAGGCTCACAAACTTTTTTTTTTGCACAATTTATCAAATCATAGGAAAAAAAAGAACAGTTAACTGAAACAGTCCTTCTGGTGGCAGAATCTCCTTGTAGCTGTGTGTGTGTCTTGGCTAAAGCCCTGCCCTCTGTTATCCACATCAGATCAGGAAGGAGGAGCTTCATAAGGTGTGCAGAGCAGCCAGCCCTTTTTATGTCAGCTTTTTGTGTGAAAGCAGATGAAGCTTAAGTTTGGAAAATAGCACAGTGTTAGTGAAGGTTTCTACAGGTGTTTGTATGTGTTCGGAAAAATAATACAGAGAAATTCTAAGCAACAGTCACAGTAACTGGCAGGCAACACGTATGCCGTAGTATTTGATGTCTAATGCACATGAGCAGCTTTATAGCTTGTGAAATGTAATTTCTTCTTTTTTTTTTTCCCTCAATGGCGGATTTTCTCACCCTCTGGAGACTTTCAAACGTGTCCTTATCAGGGAAGAACAGTACGACTCCATTATAGTCTTCTACAATTTAGTGTTTATGCAGAAACTGAAAACGAACATTTTGCAGTATGCCTCCAACAGGGTAAGCTCTGTTAGCTGTGTCTGGTGTTACCTAGTAGAAGAGGAATACATGTCAAATAAAATCTCATCGTGTTTTCTTATTTTATAGCCTCCCACTCTGTCACCTATCCCACACATTCCTCGCAGCCCTTACCAGTTTTCCAATTCTCCTCGGCGTGTCCCTGCTGGAAACAACATCTACATCTCGCCCTTGAAGAGCCCCTACAAATTCTCGGATGGGTTTCAGTCACCCACAAAGATGACTCCAAGGTCCAGGTTGGTTGCAAACATTTCTTTGAGTAGATTAAAATTGTCAGTAGGGATTTAATGAAAGCAAGTTTAAAAACTTCAGTGTAGTTCATTAATAGTCTACAGTTATTTTTTTTCGGATTAAAACCTTGTGTCTTGTATTTAGTGTCTTGTGTTGTTAAACATGACTTACTCTTAAACACTTCTCCTCTTCATTTGGCAGAATTCTGGTGTCAATTGGTGAATCATTTGGGGTGAGTTTTAAGATTTTTAATCTCTGGTCGTATATACATGTAACCTATAGAGGAATGAGAACAGCTCTCTGAGAGCGGCAGGGCTGGCCAGTGAGTGTGTCTCATTTAATGTAATTTTTCTAGGATTTGTAGGCATTTTTAAAGAATGTTTTCTTGTAATCCAGACTTCTGAAAAGTTCCAGAAGATAAACCAGATGGTGGGCAGCGGCGACGGGCAGCTCAAGCGCAGCGCGGAGGGGAGCGCCGCGCCGAAGCCGCTGAAGAGGCTGCGCTTCGATATCGAAGGACAGGACGAAGCCGATGGAAGGTAAAGTTACTGGGTGTGGGTTTGCAGTACACTGGAGAAACATATACATATATATACACATATATCACTTGTTTCTGAAGAAATTGAAAAGAAAGGAGAAAGGTAAAGCAAGACAGAGCTAGCATCTCTTGAGTGTAGAGTGTCTCTTCAGTATCTTTCTTGTGGAGGAAAAGGTTTGCATCTTTGTAAGAGAAGGCAGTAACACTGAAGTAACGTAACCCCAATTTGTAGTCGAGTTTATTAGGGGAAGAAAAAAACAAACTTAAAACATTATTCTGCTCTCCATTAACTGAGCACTTTCTATCTGCAGCAAACATCTACCCCAAGAGTCCAAGTTCCAACAAAAGCTTGCAGAAATGAGTGAGTACTTCTTTTCTGGTGATTGAAAATAACCTTGGATAGAGATTGTGGCAGTGCTCTGATAAAACCATTGCTCAACATCGGTGTCATTTCAGTAACCTGCTTTCTTGTGCTTGTTCAAATCTTGAAAACACAGACTGAAATGGAAATCCTCAAGAGCTTTTTCTGGGTTATTAAATGGCCTAGCAGCAACGTTGATGCTGCCACTTTGAATAAGGGGAGGAGCTGGCTGTTCTTCCACCGTGCTAGAAATCTGGAAGTGGAATTAAATGCTTGCCAGTGCTTTCCCCTTTCTCGTTTATTGTAATGAGAACTCCCTTGCTGAGAGCTTGCAGATACAGGCCAGTAGTGCCCACAGCAGCAGTTCGTTGTCCAGAGCACCTTTTAAGTCAGGAAAAAGGGAAAATGTGTGAAACTTTACAGATTGCTCTGTCTTGAAAACCAGAGTGCCAGAGACTGCACTAACTGTGGAGCCAGACACCTGTATTTTGAGTAAATTTTGTTTTAGTGCTTGCTTGTGGCAGCAGCTGAGATGGGGCGTGTGAGAAGGGCCTGTTTCACGTGTGGTTCCGATAGTCCCGGAGCAGGAAGGTCCTTCCTGCACGGGCAGGTGGTGGCAGCTCCGGGACGAGGGCTCCGCTGGAGCTGCGAGGAGCCCCCGGGGGAGGCTGGAAACGGCCCCTCTTCAGCAGCATGAAAATGGGCAGAAATTGGGGTGCAGTTCAGGAGTGACAAACACTTCAGCAAATAGGTAGAATCAATTCCCACCAGTTGGGGTGGGTTGGATTTCCTCTGAGTTATGCATCTACAATAAAATGTAGGATGGAAGTTATTTAGGAGAACAGTACCCATCCATTCCTTGCGTCCTTCCCCATATTTACAGTATACTATCATGTCCAAAATCACTTTAAAGTATTTAATTTCACTGTTTTTTCTGTGCGTGCAGCATCTACTCGAACACGAATGCAAAAGCAGAAACTGAATGATGGAAATGATACCTCAGCCAGCGAAGAAAAGTGAGATTCCTCTCAGGACAGGGGGCTCTGCTGCAGGCTCCTCTCAGCTTGTTTTTGGTTTTCAGCCTCCATTAATTGAGTTGCTTTTTTTAGTTGCTTTTTTATTCCCAACTGCTAGTTGGAAACATTTGGATTTTTTAAATTTTTAATGTTTCTCATGATACTTTGCCTTAGGATGTAACATATATACAATGCAAGCCACTGATTCTGTTAATTTATATATTTTGAGAAGGTTTTAAAAACAGACTCGGAAAATGTCTTAGTTTCCTGTTTCAGTATCAGCTGATGCAGTCTACTTGGATTGAATTCTTTTGTCTAAAGACAAATTGTTAGCTAGAATGATTTGAAATGCACTAATTTTGTGTGTTAGATTTCATTTCAGTATTGGAACTCCATGCGTTGTTTGCAAACGAGGATTGGGGGCCAGATACTGCAAAGCTCTCTGACTCCATCCCATTACCACAACAGGTTGTCATTAACTAAACTGCACAGCAGTTGTCAAAGTTGCAGGGTTAGAACCTGGCGTTGCAAGTCCAACCTGAAAGCAAAATGGGTTCGTTCCGTAGCCAAACTACTGAATCCAGTAGCCCCGCTGGCGGGCTGGGCCCGTGGGAGCGCTCCCTGCCAGCCCGCGCCGTGCGGCACCTCGAGGGCACGAGCGGTGCCTTCCTCGCGCAGGATACACAAAATACTTCCCATACACAAAATACTCCAAGTGCACTTTCTAATATTGAAATATATGTATATATATAAAAAAAACCCAACCCCTGGCCCGCTTGGTATGAATAAGATGCCGGGATCCTGAGGAATGCTCTGGAGGTGACTCGAGTTTTAATCTGAGCACAGCCAAAGCAGGGGGCTAGAGAAGGAGGCCGGTTTCCTGGAGCAGGAGAGGCTGAAGTCGGCCCCAGGTTAGAGTGACCTGGGGTGTAGACGGCAGCGCCTCTCAGGGAGCCCCTCTGGGAAGATGCCTGCCTTTTTTACCAAGAAACAGCTGCTCAAGAGGCTTCCTGTGAACTGCCACAGTCAAAAACAAACCAGCAGCATCCTTTTTTCACCAGTGTAGCTGTAAGTTACTGATTCAGATGCTCATTTTTTTTCTTGCATTGGTAAAGAGATTGCAAAATAGCCTGTTACGGAGGCACGCTTTATTTCCAGTGGACTAAAACATAAGTAAATAAACGAGGTCCTCTTTTAAAATTGCCCGTTTTAATGAAATGCAGTTTCTTCAGCTGCTTAAGTTAAGACAGTTACACTAGAAGAGCTTGCTACTCCCTACAGAAATGTATTTCAAAACCGTATCTTCGAGTAGCTTGTTTAGAAATTGCCTAGCTGACCCTAGAATACCTACAGTAACGTTTTAAAGACCAGTTCTTGAGTCGGTCAGGATCTAATCCTAGAGCTACTAAAAACTGTACAAACAGCACATCGATTTGTCAGTGGATTTTGAAGTAAAACTTTCTGATTTTTTTTGTTGTGTTTTTTTTTTGTCTCAAAATGGCTTCAACTTTCTTCTTGAAAGACATGTACAGAGTTATTGCAGTACTTTATTTTCTCACTTTTTACAGAGTTTTACATTCGGAATATCTGGTGAACGTTGGGGCACACTGACCCTAAGTTCTGTTATGGCTGTTGAAGTTTTTCCATCGTTCACCCAGTCCTTTGGCTAGAGACCTGCAGGGTTAACAGTGAAGAGTCCTGTGCCTAAACAGAGTAATTTCTGTCACAGTGTATTTTTCGTTCAAACACACTGAAAGCTTTCCATCAAATGTATGATAATATTTTGTACAACTAATCAGTTTGACTCACTTCAGGTAAATAAAATAACTTTTAAAAGATGTACAGTTATATTGATAACTTGCTTTATTAGATAAGAAGACTTCCTAGGGAATGATGTTCTTCCCTGCTGCATTTCCACCGCGATGCTGCAGCTGGTGCCAGCAGAGGTTACTGCATCTCCAGCCACTCCCTCTCTGCTGCTGCCGAGGTCCCAATCCAGGTGCAGCTGCTTGCAGTTACCTACCCGAGTTTCAGAGGTCACCCTGGGAACAGGCTGGCTTCATCTCCCATGTTCGAATCGGGCTTTTTTGGCTGCCACTGGTGATGTTTTTTTGCTGACCCAGACCTGTATCAGCAGCTGCATCGCTGTGACAGCCCTCATAGAAATCCCTCAGGATTTCTCCTCCATGCTGAGACCTGTTCACACCTCTCCTCCACCTCCATCTTCGCAGCCCCGGGCGTGGGGAGCTGCTCTCGCGGGCAGGGTCCAGCCCGCGGCCTCGCGCGCCTCCTGCCCCGGCCTCACCCCGGAGGAGGCCGCTGCCCCCGGCCCCGCTGCCTGGGGCCGGCGAGCTAACCCCGACCCGTAAGAATATGGCCCTAACCTGAACGCGTTCTTAGAAGCAAATAAACCTGCAGCTAAAAAAAGCAGTTTCAGCATGCGTTATCAGACTTCAAAATTTTCCTCTGTTGAGAGTGCTCTTCTTGCAGCAAGACCTTGATTTCATCAGAATGACCAAGGGTTTTGAAACAATATTTAAGAAAAATCAGAACTCGCTGTCAAAGACCTGGGCAGAAACCGAGACGGGCGTTTCGGTGCCTGGTGATGGGGGTTTCACCCCGGCCAACGTCCTGCTGTAGTCAGAGAGGGGACGCGGGCGCTCGCGCGGAGCCCTTTGTCTCATCCCGAAACATTTCTTACCTGCTGCTTGCAGCTCTGCTTTTTGCAGGCTCTTTGCATTGTGCTTAAAAATGGATTATTTGGTTATTTTCTTTAATAAAAAAATGTTTAAAATACCTCCTTGAACAGCTACTTCTGTTTATTTCTTATTTTCCCATGGTACCAAATTATATAGTCAAATCCATTTATAAATCTGAGCGAGCAAATGTCAGACCTGTTTCACTTCTACTGCTAAGAAAGAAACACTCAGACTTTTAAATGTTACAACATATTTTTTATTAATGGTCTGTTAAAACCAGGTAAGCTCACACAGAAATATGAAACTGGGTATTTTTATGTTCAGGCTGTAAACATGAGATATCATTAGATGGCAGCTAATGACCCCTGTCTCTAGGAGACAACAAAGTGCTGTGTTTTACAAGGAAAGCCCACTGAAAGGGTTCAGATCATATAAAAACTTATATATGGAACAGCAGTTTACACAGTGATCAGGCATGGTAGTAAAACACCAAGGGTCGGCACTAGCTGACAAGGTGGTGCTGGATCTTAACATGGATCACTTCTTAGGTAGGATCAAGTGCTCTTTTTCCTTTTCCCTTTCAAATCCCATTCTTTAAGCTTGTAACTTAGTAAGTTGTGGTTTATCTTTTACATGAAAGGTCCCAATTTATTTGGATTTACACATTTTATGCTTGACAATGTTTGCATTTTTTGTTCCATTTTTATTCCCCTAAAATTATTCAAAAATACCCTCTTAACTATTTAAGATCCAAGATCCAGAAACACCACTTTGTTGCACACCACCTTGCCCTGCTAAAATGCATCCCTAATTTCTTCTGACAGCTCCCACGCGTATTGGAAGGACTGAGTTTCACACGTTTATGCCCACGTCTCCAAATTTGACCTCCTACGCTTTGACCATGATTGTATTTTTTTAAAAAAGTTTGACCTTTAAGTGCCAAGGAAAGGGCAGGGAAATAAAAGCTTAAAAAAATGAATTAATGTCTCCATGAATGCAATACTATCACATCCCTGTCCGACAGTCCCTATCTGTGCCTGACTGGTGACAAGAGCGTCAGTCCCCAGATGATTTTTGTTTTTTTGAAAATTACAGGTTTTGATAGTACCTAAGCTCAAACCAGGCTGTAAATTGCACAGTAGGTGGGAAGTAATGAGCAGGAAGGAAATAAATTGGGAAAAGAAAAATGGCACCGTTGGTTTTACTAGGCCAAAACTGTCTCACTGAGGGCAGTTGTTTCCATGGGGGTGTCGTGGTTTGCTGCGTTCAGAACTGGAGCCACGGTGGGAGGGCGATACGGGAGCCGGGGCTGGTCATGGAGCAGAGGCTGAGTTAACAACAACACCCACCAGTCCCCATGATTTTACATAAAGGACCTGTCACTACAAATTACTTTCTGCTGTGGGGCACGACTCGGCCCCAGCTGCCACCTCAGGGCTGGGCTGCGGCCCTGCCACACGTCTTGGCTTGTCGGGCTACAAAAGTGCTGGGAGGGGAACGCACCGAGCCTGGAGCCTCCACGGGTGGAAGGGACAGGACTCTGCTCCAGCGGTGCCCGGCTTAGCCAAGGAAGGGGAATTCCCGGCAGAGGTTATACGGAACCCGGCCTGCACCCAGGAGAGCAGAGGCGCAGGGTGGCACGGCCGCCTCAGGGGCTGCCGTGCGCTCGTGCCGGCCCTGCCTCTTGCTCTACCCCGATCCGCGCGCCCAAGTCGAGCCCGAGTGACAACATGGAGCTGTGGGACGGGGCGGTCGGTGTGTGGCTGCAAGGGCAGCTTCCGAGCGCCCCTCCTGCGCGAGCGCCGAGGCAGCCGCTGAGGCACCGGCCTGGGCAGCGCGAGAGACAACTCACGAGTCGCTGAGGGGGCGGCGAGAGAAGCCCCAGGGAAGGAGCAGAGCTGACACATTTCTAGCAAGACTTTGAAGCAAATACCTCAGAAATGTTTTTAAACACAGCACTATGCAAAATAATTCTGGCCCTTTCCCTAGGTTAAGTTCAACTGCCTGTATCCCACCCCGGCGCTTCCCCTCAAAAGCGGGGACTGACCTGGTGACACTTCCTCCTCTTCCTCTCCCACGGCTTAATGCTCCTCTTTCTTCCTCCTCCTTTCAAAGGAACATGACTGCTTGGGAAATGTTCTTCTGATGCAGCAAAGAGCAGTCACTTCCACTTTAGAAAGGGGTGTGAGATCATTTAAGGGAATCAGGTACTTCCGAACGGCTTTGTGAGGAGCACAGTTGCAGTAAGTCCTCGAAGGACTCTGCGGCAGAGCACGTACGTGACTGAGGGTCGCATCACTAAATATATTAGCTTCCTGAGCACAGCCATCCCAATTTTTGCCTTTTCCAATTATAAAATACAGGAGGAGGGACTTAAGCCGTTTCACTCCGTCTTTTAAGAGAAGTAACTTCTCAGAGTTCAGGCGCAGTTGTCCCTGCTGGAAGATGCAACATTTAACCCGTTCCGCGGCTCCTGCTTGGGGGCAGCAGGGCCTGGGCTCTCCCCTCGGCCCCGCTGGCCCTTGGGCCCCGCTCGCGCCAGCGCCCTCAGCAGAGGGAGGGCCATTGGGACCGGGTGGCCTCAGTATCCTTCAGAAAATTAGGTATGCGCATTGTTCAACCTCTGTGATTTATTCCTAAGACCCAGTTACTGTCTTCTCCCTTTCACTTGCGTCTAGGGATGGTAATAGGGGAAGACGCACAAACCTCAAGTGGAATTTCCCTTTCCTTCGTATTTGTTCATGCTTCCTTTTCTTGGTAACAAGCAATGTTACAGTTTTCTGGGTACAAAAAAAAAAACCACAACAACATAATCTATGTCTGGACAAAAACTGTGAACGTTTACCGCCCCACTGGGATGCCAGGGAACATCCCTAGTGTAACTGAAAGGGAGAATTTTTAATTCTGTCTTGAGCAATGAATGTAATATCCAATGCAACTTCTTGGTGGTTAAGGAAGTATTTACACCTCAAATAAATAAACATCTAGCAAGATACACCTTCCTAGCCATTAGAAAACTCCTCTTCCTAAAGAATTTATATTACTTTATTATATATTCAGAAAAACAAGTTTACACCTTCACTGGATGAGAAACTAGGCACAAAGAAGCCTACTGTAGCACATCGTTAACTTAGTTTGGTGACAGACGAGGACTATGGAAGTTTTAGCAGCAAACAGGTCACTGCCTCATAAATACAGATGCAGGCGGTTTAAAAAAAATCAGGGAGGCAAGACAAAAAGAGAGCTTAGTTGCCCTGGTTTAAAGTGGAATACACTAGTTACTGGTTTAGATTTTAGTTAAATTCTGACTGTTGGCCAAAGCAAAGACCACCACACATCTGTGCTGCAGCCCTCTTCACAAACCCTTCACTCACGGCCTTCCACGCTTCCGAAGACGACAGGCACTGGCCTCTTGCTCCCAAACTCCGCCATCCTGCCCTCAGACAGGGCCTGCAAAGGAGCTGCATTCCCAAATTCCCAGGAGCGCCCGGGTGCCCCCGCTCCGCGGCGGCGAGGCCTCAGTTGCGGAAGGCCCCCACGCGGCTCGCTTTGCTGATGAAGTTTTTGAGGAGGTCGTGGTCCATTTCCGCAAAGCCGGGTGTCTGCGTGACGACCGTTAGGTGGTTGATGCAGAATCTGAAGCAAAACTCTTCCAAGTCCTGGGAAGGAACCGGGGCGGTGAGCGGAGCTGCATCCCCGCGTGTGCCACCTCTGTGCCCCGCGCTCCCCGCTTCCCCCTTACCCATCCCAAGGGCAGCGCGAGGCGTCCGCTCTCGGCAGCCCCGGCGCTTTCTAGGGGTCCCCCCTCACCTTTCCCTGCAGAGTCCGACCTGAGGCCAGCCCTTTCCAGATCCCTCTCATCTAGCAGAAAGCGGGAGCTTCTGTGTTCAGAGGCACTACTATAACGTGGCTCTAGCTCCAGGCTGCACCGAGACGCCGCAGTAAGCGCAGAGGGATGCAGTGAAAACGTCTCTGTCCTGCCCTGCTCCTGCTGAGCCCGCGGCTGAAGGGAACCCGCTTCAGCGCGTGAGCTGCGCTCTCCTTCCAGGCTACTGCAAGAGGAGGCTTCTTAACCCACGTCCGCTTTGTTCTGCGTGACCTACACCAATACCAAAGCCAGGGCTGCAGAGGGGAAGGGATTTAGCAGAAACCTGCACATTTTCCTTCAAAGCCTTTCTTCAGATTTGAATGCTTCAAGTCTATTGCCCCTGCCAAAACATAACTAAGGTTTTAAGAGAAGCCAGGAAGCATAAAAATATCCCTTAAAAGGAAATGAAGTGGTAAAAATGGCACAGTAAATCACATCTTTCATTAAAAGTGTTGAAAAGAAAGAAAAGGAATGAAAATTGAAGAAGAAATAGAAAAGAAATTAAAAGAAATTGAGAGGTGTGGAGAGGAAGACAGCAACCTGTGCCTGCATTTGACAGTACTGCACTGGGGGCAGGCAAACACACCATTAACTTACAATGAAGTGCTAAAATATCACATACATTTTGACCAAATACTAGGTATGCAGATTAAAACACTGAATCATAGAAGGAAGAACGAGTTAAAAAAAGTGTTCATCTACCCAATCCCTTCTATTGTGTTTCTGTCACTGTAGTCACTAGTACTTTGTTCAGGCTAGTTTTACAATTTCACAATACACCTAAATGCCTCTGTTGAAAAGTTTGTAAAAGGAGGAACTCCAAGGCAGAATTCGAATGAAAACTTCACCTCTTAAAAAAAACAGATTGTGTGATCCTGCTTTCTGGTCCCACCTTCCCCAATAGGCTGGACTTCTACCTTCACATCACCCTGAAAGGGCAATTCCTGCGTTTTGCTCCCCCCTTGTTCTTGCTCTTCACTACTAACTATCCATCTTGAGGCCTTGGTTACAGCTCTGTCTTCATGGCTCCACCTCCAGGTGATAATTTCATTTATTCATCTTCCCCTCTTCTGACTGACCACACTCACTGTGTGCTTCTGGCTTCCTCTTTGCAATCCCTACAAAAATTGATCTCATTTAGGATCCTGTGGCATAGATGACTTCAGCATTTCCTAACTCTACTTCTACTCCTGTCCCTTCCTTCTTTCTGCTCCTTGTGTCGGGAACAGTCTATCATTTTACTGTGTTTCTAGACTCTCCTGCTCTAAAACTTTGCCCTGGGTCTCACAGCGAGGCATAAGCAACACACAGTTCCACAGAGTGCACAGCTGGGAAAAGGAAATGATCTCTCAAGCTCTTTGCCTGTTTGCAAATAAGGGGCTTGCAGAGCAGCTGGTAACAGCTTGAGGGCTGGTCAGAGCTCCCAGATATCCTCCCTGGCAAGGAGCTCTTGAGCCAAGGGCAGCCCAATGGCAGGATACGGACACGGCAGTGACAAGAGATAATATTCTGCATGTCAGCATGACTCACTGTGACCAAGATGGTGAAAATGGATTTTTGATACAAGCACAAATGCGAATAAGGAAAGACTTTAAAGTAAATTCATCTCTGACAGTAAAAGGCAGTACTAGGATGACTGTACCAGACACTGACAAATGACTTGAGAAGGTGGAGAACTTTTTCAGGAAGCAAGAGGCAGTGCGAGATCCAAAGGTGGAGAAGTGAAAGGTGAGGAGGAATCCCCAGGCCCTGTCGTGCTAGATGACAGGGCAGGAAGCACATTAAGAATCCTGACTCACAGGTGCAAGACAGCAGGCCACAAAGATTGCATGAACTGCTTCGTTATTTATAGCTTAAATGTTCATGTCTGGGAAGCCAGCAAGGGCAGCTAACAGCAATCACGCCTCACATGTTAAATGCAGTCATTATTAAACAATATTTCTCAGAAAGCACTTATTTTCCATACCTGAGCCTCGTATTTGACAGCGGCTGAAAGAAGAGCAATCGCATTCTCCTCACAAATACCCTGTTTGATGGTTTGCTGGCAAAGCTTTTTCAATCTGTTTTCTCTATACAGGGTGGCCAAATCTAGCAGCCCTGCAAAAAGATCAAACATATTTAACTATCCTTGTGCAAAACATATACATTTCTATTCATATTCATCAACTCTATTATTTTAGGCAGAATTCATTGAAAGCTTCATCTGTTGTTTTTTTCTGACATGAAGCGCTTAATTTTTAAAATTCCTCAAAAAGGTTTTTATCAAAAAGAGGCACTTCTACTAATATATAAGTATTTCAGCTTCCTGTTCACTATAATATTTCTTATTCAACGTATCAGCTATTGTCCTAAATCTACTTGCTGCATCTACTCAAATCCTTATGGCACCATTAGTGACTTTTTAAGGCAAAATAAGTTGGGATCCTTCCTGAATGTTAATTGTGGATTTTATTTCATACCCCACCACTCCTTTTTCCTACTACTGCATCCTTATTCCTGACACCTGGAATACAGCAGTAACTCAGCCTTAAGTGCTAATAAAAATAAAACTAAACATGATCAACTCTTGATTTCCTCATCCTGTTATGACACACAACTATAACTTCAGAAATATGCCTTATATGCATTTATGGCAATTACCTATTGCATCTTCAGGAGGAAGACTAATGTTGTCTGTATACAGGTATTCCAGGAAGGCTCGGTAAACAGGATAAGAAAATTCATTCATTTCTATAATTTCGTCATCGCTGTTCAATATGGAGCGAAAATGTTCACACCTAAAACACAAGAACAAGACCTGCACACTGTAAAGAGTCAAACTTGATAAATGAGCTGCAGCAAGACATCAATAGGAAAAAATCAGTCCTAACAGACAAAACACATAACCAAAAAATCTTGGTTTTGAACACATTAAAATTTTTAGAGCTTTCTAAGTTTCACCCTTTAGAATTTTCTTCTATTTCTATTGCTACTAGTTTACAACAGGTTCCTTATTCTACCTGTAGTATCTTTAAGGATACCCCATGCATTTTTTAAATGTTTCTTACGTGAGTTATATATATCAACTATCAAATCTATTTTATTACGTCTCATAACAGATTAAGTTTACAATAAATTATACAATTCTCACACGTCATCCTCTTTCTTCAACATGATCTAGTGAAACAATCACTAATATTTCAGATAATATTTATTATTTATTCCAGTGTCACAGTCCATGTATGTAGACATAATGATACGCAAAAACTATACTCATCTTAGCATTAAAATTAATCTTTACTCTCAGGTATGAAAGTACTTACAATTAAAAGAGACTCCCATATCATTCATAGAATCATAGAATGCTTAGGGTTGGAAGGGACCTCTAGAGATCATCTAGCCCAACCCCCCTGCACATGCAGGGTCACCTAAAGCACATGGCACAGGACTGCGTCCAAGCGGGTTTTGAAGATCTCCAGAGAAGGAGACTCCACAACCTCTCTGGGCAGCCTGTTCCAGTGCTGTGTCACCCTCACTGCTAATAAATATTTCCTTACCCAGCTCCCTCAGCCTCTCCTCATAGGGCAGATGTTCCAGGCCCCTGATCATTCTTGTGGCCCTGCGCTGGACTCTCTCCAGCAGCTCCACATCCCTCTTGTACTGTGGAGCCCAGAACTGGACACAGTACTCCAGATGCGGCCTCACCAGGGCTGAGTAGAGGGGCAGGATCACCTCCCTCGACCTGCTAGAGATGCTCTTAATGCAGCCCAGGATTCCATTGGCCTTCTTGGCCACGAGGGCACACTGCTGCCTCATGGTCAACTTATCATCCACTATGACAGCCAGGTCTTTCTCTGCAGAGCTGCTCTCCAGAAGGTCGGTCCCCAGCCTGTACTGGTGTCTGGGGTTATTCCTTCCCAGGTGCAGGACCTTGCACTTGGCCTTGTTGAATTGCATGAGGTTTTTCACTGCCCAGTTGTCCAGTCTGTCCAGGTCCCTCTGGATGGCAGCGCAGCCCTCTGGGGTATCAGCTACTCCTCCCAGTTTGGTATCATCAGCAAACTTGCTGAGGGAGCACTCTGTGCCTTCATCCAGGTCATTGATGAATAAATTGAACAGGACTGGACCAAGGACTGACCCCTGGGGGACCCCGCTAGCTACAGGCCTCCAACTAGACTCTGCACCACTGATCACCACTCTCTGGGCCCTGCCATCCAGCCAGTTCCTAATCCACCTCATCATCTTTATTTTACAAGTCTGAGTATTTTTATGACATATAAACAGCAATAAAAACATGGCCTTGGATGGTTGTACTTTGTAATTTCAAGCTCACAGTAACTTACATTATTCCTCCCTCAAAAATATTCTGTAACTCTGAATTTATTGCATATTTTTGAAAGTTTTGCTATCAAGAATGAATATCACTGCCTCATATAATGACCTCTTAGAACAGCCACAACCTAACTTGAATCCTTCATACTCTTCATTACTTTCTCTAAGACTGTCCCACACCTGAATTTGCTTTTCTTTTACTCAAAATATTTCATGATAGGCTGGTTGTTATCCTTTTAATGACTCTGGGACAAGTCTACATCATAAAAACAGAATAACTCAGATACAAATTTATATTAGTCTATTTATTTTACCATTTATCTTATCTTTTCTACATTCCATTTTGTTATTTACAGATTTGGGGGGGTATTTTATTTTTTCTAGTAAAGTAAAAAAAAAAAAAAAAAAAAAAACCTGAAAGTAAATGAAACTAAAAGAGAGGACAGTGCACATTGCTCCCTTTTATAAGGGAATCATACTTCAACTTCCAAAGGCCAAGGGCAGAGCAGATGCATCCTGCCCACGTTCCTATATGCATCTCTCACTGCAGGCAACGTGTTGCTGTCCAGGCTCTTTCTCAGGGGGAGGCTGCCATTTAGCACCATCACCAACTAATAACCACCTACAATATCATCTAGTTCAGCAACATCTATAGCACAAGATGGCAAAAGACAGAGAGATAAAAAAAGTCTCCTCAAGTGGTAAAAAAAAAAATATTTGGACAATAAAGAAGAACTTTTACCAGCAGGGGACTCATGACAATGCTCTAGGAAGGGATGAATCCTGTTATATCATGTTAATACCATGTAATACCATGTTAAAGATACTATCCTCTCAACAAGTTGCATTGCGAGACTAAGGCTTAAAGAAGGCACTAACTATAGACTAGGTCACATGCTCTTATTATCCCAGAAAATTTGTTTGATAATGCCAAATATTTATAGAATTGGAATTCCTGGAATTTCTTTCCAGAATGCCATATAATCTTGGAAAAGTGAAGCAGTAAGAAAGAATTAAGACAAAGTTACATGTCATCCAATTATCAAGAAAAATCACCTCAGACACACTTTGGGGAGGCACAAGATTTGAAGTGATATTTGATGAAGGACACTTGGAGATGATAGGAAATAAGGCAGGCCCAGCAAAAAACAGCACACTATAAGCAGTAACACAAAAGAGATGAAAACAGTAAAGGGAGGAAAATTCAGGCAACAGAACCAGTAATAGGAGAACAGAAAAGAAAGAAAGAAAGAAAAAAAAGCAAGAATTAATATGTAACTTTGATGTAATGTAGTAGTACACAAGAGGTCACTAAAGAGATTCGGGAGCTGAAGCAAGACAAGAAAAACAGTAATAAGCAGAATCTCTTTAGAATAAGAGGTAGCCAAGCATTTTGACACAGAAAACAGTGAAAAGAGAAAATTATTGCAATAATAAAGACTGTAGAGATCTGAAACAGTGTTTCTAGTATATCCTATCAGAAAGAGTACCAGTAATAACAAACTGGTCTCTGTATGTTAGTAACCAAGCGATTACTCATTAGATCTGCATATGTCGGATCTCACTGTGATGTGGTGTTAACTTGTAAAACGCTGTTAAAAAAATCACAAAGGAGAAGCCAGCTTGAATTCAAAATAACTGCTAAAAAGGCTTAAAACAAAAAGGATAGATCTGGCAGGAAAGAAAAAAAAATGAACAGGATCTACAGAAATTGCTGAAACAGCTGAAGAGTCCTGTGGAAGTAAAGAAAGAAAGGCAAGAATAAACACAAAAGCAATAAAGCTGAGGATATCAGTAGAGGAAGCCAAGAAAAGAAAGGAGGAGAAGCTGATTAACTTCTGGGAAGGCAGCACAACCCAGATAAGTGAGAGCGCCTTTTCCTTCACAGGAAAAGGTCATAAGTAATTAGGACTGTTTAGGTAGCATGAAGGAGGATGGATATCAGATGGAGGAAAGTGGGGAAGAGGTTGGTAGTAAGCAACAAGCTTGGTAATTCTAGCAGTGAGAAAAAAATCGGGAAAACAATTAAGTTAACAATTAAGAAAAGCAAGTGAATCCCATGACTTGGGGAAAAGGGAAAAGCCTAACTCAATATTTGTAAGCACTCAGTAGACTAAACTGTATAGTCTGTGACTTACCTAATTTTGAGGAGAACTTTATGAACATGAATGTATTTTCCATCCACCAGAAACTTCAGGTCTGCAGTTTCAGGGTTGTCAAATTCCTTCTTCAGTGACTGGGCTACTGTTAGATGGTCATCAGGCTCTAGTATAAAAAGAGGAATTCACAGTGGCCAGTAAGTACAGGAATCACTTACAACATTACCCTGGGCTTATATCAGCAATTAACACTGTTAATAAATCCAGTTTCCCTGTCAGGTTAGTAATGAAACAGTGTGTTCAGTTGAACCTGTGGAAAAGCAAAGCACAGCTTTGTTCAGTCCTTGCTAGTTCCCTACTCCAAATACCCGTATAAAAAAAATAAGTCCCACTCCTCAAACTCTTCAATACAAGGCCAGAAAAAAAGAAAGAAAACAGTAGACTAAGTAATTAAATGCTGCATCCGATAACAAATAATATTAACGATAATCAGCAAAATTATTATTAAAAAGGTGTCTGTTAAAAAACAGCTAAAAGCTCAATAAAAATCACAGTAAGATTTGATAAAAGCCTACCATGGGGAAACATTATCTTCTATCAAAATAAAGCGATTACTTAACTAAGACATGTAAAACTGCTCAGCCTGATACCCCCAAAAGTAAATCCCACCAGTAACAAGCCTGTTTGGAAGTGTTCTCCCCAGAGGTACCGTGTTAACAGCCCTCTGAGTGTGAATGTCCTTCCTGTTGTATCACAGAGGACGTGGCCCCTGCACAAGAAAGACAAGGCACCCTCCCACTGTCTGCATACAAATGTGCATCTCCTGCACTGCTTCCAACTCCTCAGCACAGTGGGTAGTCTCAAAGAACTATCTTCTTTAATATTAAGGGAAAAAAAAGTAAAATCCTCCAAACCTCATTTGTAACCCAGATAACAGTTTTTTCTCCTCACCATATCAATACCTATTACCTGTTTTATTCAGTTTTTTGGGGTCAGGATTAAGCTGTTCTCTACAGAAAATTACATAAATGTTAGGTCCTGAAATTCTTTAGCCTACCAAATTCAGCAGAACTGGAATGGAAATATTGCCATCACATGCTAGATAAAAGCTTTGAACACATAATTTGATACTGTCATGCTGTTTAGCACAGTTACTTGCAAACACATTTAGAGAATGTCACTTATGTCCAACCAGGGAAATAATTATGGAAATCTTTTGGATTTCAGGTGGACGGAGGAGGAAAAGAAAATCCAATGAAAATATATATGAATTGAAAAAAAAAAAAAAAAAAAAAAAAGACTCCTGAACCAGTGGTATGGTAGAACATGTTGTTAGGCCTTACTCTGTACGACATAGTTTATTTATTCAGATCTCTGCAGAGCTCCGTAGTTTTAACAATCAAAGGAAACCCCATGCTCTACTGCAAGACTACAGTAAGGCCAAGGATTCTGCACTGTCCTGTTGGGAAACCAGTCTGCAAAGTCAACTGGCAATTCAGATCTTCATTGCTAGGGCATTACCAGATGACTTCTGCTATCAGAGGTCTGCTCAATAAAGTGGGGTTAAGTTATAAAATTCTTAGTGAAAGGAAAAGCAGATGCTTTTATTTGTTTTAGCAGTGAAGGGGGTGCCAGTGGGAGGAAATGAGGAGGCAGTTCACGTGGACAAGGCAAAAAGGCAAGAAAACCCTTCAGCATCCAGTGTTTAGCCATAAACAGGGAATGCATGGAGTGCTGGGGGAGAAAGCACTAGAAAGGAAAAGGAGGAGAGCTCTAGCATGGCACGTGTCCATGGCACTTAGATGGGCAGGTGATAAGATCTTAGCTATGAAGTTTCTCAGCACACGTTTATCAGGAGCCGAACAACAGTGAGTAAATCCTAAGGACTTACCAAAGTGGGGTAAGATGGAGAGACTAGTCACTCCCAGCTCCTAAGGGTACAAAAAAAATGCACATCTAAAACTAGCACGTTTTCCCCTCACCAAGGGGAATCCAGGAGACACGATGGGTCTCGGGAGCAACACCCTTTAGCCTCACATTGCAAGGACTCCAGCTCAGACCACTTGCTGCACGTGAGTACACGAATCTGAGCGCGTGACATGATGGGCATGACAAAATACTCTTGCTTAGAAAGAAAATGACCTTTCCTTCCTGCAAGGCTTCACCTTGAGCTCTGCTACATTGTTGTTACACGTTAAAACATTCTTTCCAAAGGGAGCAAGCAGTTAAGGGCAGAAAACAAAGATAACAGGAGCTGGAAAGGTCAAAAATGACTCTCACACTGTGAAGCAGGGTAGGAAGGGCCAGCATTTTGTCCTGAGGGACAATGAAGGGGGAGGAAAAAAGATACACCTCAAAACAGTTACAAACTGGGTCTTGACAAGGCTGTGTCAAAGAAAGAGCATGAGTAGCGGGACCTCATGATACACCCATTAACAACCTGTCTGCTTGCAAGTCTTCTGCACTTGTGAGCACAGATAATCCTGCTCCAGATGCTTTTATCTGATCCCATCTCCCTCCCTGCTCTGTGGGAAGAACCAAATGCTTTTAAATTAAGGTCCATCTCACCTGGTGCAGCAGTCTAAAAGTCAGGTGAATCTCAACACAGCACTGCCCATTTCCCTGCACTGACTACAAAGGAAAGGCCAAGTGGTTAATTTAGAGCAAGGCATTCAAGCGTCAGCCCCTGAGGTTGTATCAGCTGAATCCAGCCCTGTAAATGCACAGGAAGCAGCAGAGAAGTGAATATGAAACCTGGAGACTCATAAACAGCAAGACAAGTTACTCTCCTACTCCATCACACAACACCCACGGTGCAAAAAGCTGGAGAAGCTAAAAACCTGCAGTTACCCAGGCCTTTTCCCAAAGCCTCTTCATAGCATAGGGCTCTTGGTGGCTCCTCCTCGGGCCACAGACATTTTATGGTCTCACAAGAGTATATCAGATGCAACTTTCTCTGTAAGGCCCACAAGATAACAGAACAGTCTTGCATTCTAATGTACTTTGCTTATTTATGTACTTATTCTAACCAAATCGGAACAGAATGATCAAGCAAAAGCTTTAGGGGAAAGAAGCAGACCAAGCAAGGGTATTTGGGCAATAATGGTGGGAAGGTTTTCCTTTTTAGGGGAAAAAAAGTAAACATTTTTTTAAGAGAGGGAAGCAAGCCTGCTTTTTTTGCTGTGGAAAGGAACTGGAGGAAGTGAGGGACTGAAAATAATAGGTTCGGAATTGAAAAAAATATATTTCTTAGAAGTGGATAAGAAAAAAGCAAATTTGGCAGAAAGAAACACGGGAAAAAATGTAACAAATTCAGTCTCAAGCCATCTCCCTCACTGAGGGGTGAAATATGGAATAAGGCAGATTCTGTTTCTTACCTTCCCCAATTCGCCTTTGAAAAATTTCTAAGGGCCCCTCACTAAACTGAGAAGAAAAGGCAAGAGGAGAAGTAGAGGGGAAATTAAGAAGAGAATTGCAGTGAAGATCAGATGAAATGTGGGAATCCACAAGAAAGAAAATGCCTTTTCAGATATTTCAGTTAATTGCAGTAGCATGAAATAATATTTTAACAGGCCAAGAAGAAACAGAAGTTGAAGAGCCCCAGACTCTCATGTACATAAGAATATACATTTAATTAAGTTTTGCAACTTAGCTACAAATAACAATAACCTTTCATTTTCTTCATAAGTAATTTTCATGGAAGAAAAATCTAAATTTTACTACTAAACATACTATGGATACTTCTATTCAGAATTTACAACTAATATATATTTACTTATGTGAATGAATTGCCTCATTAATTACTGCAGTACTATAATTTATATTTATTCAGTAATAGGCAAACATTAACATATTAATAGTTTCTACAATAACTAGACATACAAATCCTCTTTCTGAAGACTATAAACTATAGTTTATATAGCTCTATAAATTCTCCTAGAGAACATTTTGAGCAAACGGGGGACTTGGGACTATGCCCTAAAACACAAACTTAGACAAGACAAATACCCGAGTGCAGGATTCTGCATTTAATCCTCTCGCCTCTCAAAGCTGAAATATGTGGACTGCTAACCAAAGCTCCTCACCTCGGCACTGGAAGGCACAAGGGAGCAAGGGGTGTTCTACAAAGCTGTCAGACCAAAGCAGACAGCAACAGAAAGGCAAAGGCAGCACCGAAGCAGAGCGGAAGGGTGATGCACTCGAGGCAGGTCAGATTACAAATAAACGAGCTGCTGCATTCAAGCTTCTCGCTTCAGCTCCCAGGTGACATCTACAGACAAGCCCAGGAGCCTCATCCTTGATTAGGCCAGGGAAGGCAATAACACTATTAGCCACAAAAATGGAGTTGGATTTGTAGACAAAGATTAACTCTTTAAAAATGCCTTGTGCCAGTGATGGTGCTTAACTCATTCCAGTGAGAGGCACCAAGACAGATCTCAGCGTTGATCAGGTATTTGAGACTCAGTAACCAGTCTCTTCAGAAGCCCAGCTCATGGTCATTTATCATGAGACTTTGACCTCCTAGCATTCACACAGCCACTCCTGAACACAAGAACTTGGCTCCCTCATTCAGGCTAGTCTGTGCGAGGATATCACAGAAAGAGTATCAAATGGTTCCTCATGTTTCCCTCATCTCCAAATTCAGACTCAGCTTCTTCACCCATGAGCCTCACACAGACTCACATAATCACAGACTGGCTGAGGTTGGAAGGGACCTCTAGAGATCATCTAGTCCAACCCCCCTGCACACGCAGGGTCACCTAGAGCACGTGGCACAGGGTGGCATCCAGGCGGGTTTTGAAGATCTCCAGAGAAGGAGACTCCACAACCTCTCTGGGCAGCCTGTGCCAGGGCTCTGTCACCCTCACAGGAAAGAAGTTCTTCCTCACATGGAGATGGAACTGCCTGTGTTTCAATTTGTACCCATTACCCCTTGTCCTGTCACTGGCCACCACCGAGAAGGGTTTGACCCCATCCTCTTTACATTCTCCCTCAAGTATTTGCACATTCTGATAAGATTCCCTCTCAATCTTCCATCACTTCTACTCAGTGGCAACAGAAAAAGACTAGGTGAACTGGCTTTTCAGACCATCATTCCCACACAAAACAAGGCACTTCCCCACAGAAATAAATCATTTAGCATTGCCATCGGCCCTTAGCGAATTTTACAATTCTGTATTAACTGCTACTTTAAAGATTTAGAATTATACTTCCCAGTGTAGATCTTTGCAATACACTGAGTTCAGGCTTCAAATAAACACAGGCCTAGAAGTGGGGCAGTGAAAACTATTCCAGCTCACCTACTGAGAGCAGGCGCCACATGACGGCCGGGGTGGCGAAGCAGGCGAACACGTCGTCGGTGCAGGCGAAGTGCGTGAGGTGGGGCAGGACCACGGCCTGCCCGCGGCACTGGCCCCACATGAACACCTGGCCGCTCTGCGTCTTGGCGGCCGACGTGTGCGTGGAGTGGCACGCGGCGATCTCCACCACCCTGGATCCACAGAGAACAGAGGCAAATCATTCTCATGGGAGCAGAACACAGCGAGGAATCTCGCTCCCTCCTCTCTTTCAGTGTCCTGGTGAACAAGCACCCGGGGAGTGAGGAGACACAGCAGCAGCAGAGCACGGCACCCACTGCAACCCAGCGAGTAGAAACGGCTGGGTAAGTCGTTTTGTCTGTCAGTTTACAACAGAAAATTTATAAAAAGCTTTTTTTCCCTCCCCCATTTGTTTATTGTATTTGTAATGGTTATAAACCAGCAATTTAAATGTATTTCTTTACATGAAAATGCTGAAGTGTCATTACTCATATCATTATTATTACTTAGACTTAATGGACTTGACCTTTTGGGACAGTTTTCAAAATGAAAAATGAGAATCAAAGAGAGGGCTAAATATTATTTCTGAATACGTTCTAGCTATCGTAAGCCATCTCACAAATCCTGAAATTGATTTAGGATTTCAAAACCCCCACTGTGTACAACATTACACAATCTACTGTTCTGCAGTTTGAAATACTGCTTGTTTACTTGTTTACCCAGCTGACTGGTGAAAATAGCATGAAAACAACTCGTTTAAAGCTGCATATACCAATCTTGCAGGCTTTAGTAAGCTAATATTCTCACTAACATCAGAAACACATATTCTGGTCAACAAAAGGGAAAGGCGCTATACAACATTAAAATGTTGGACTAAAATGTGCTAAGGTTTCAACTGCAGCCAAGGAGTCTCGAAAAAATCGGTTATATTTTAGGTAAAAGCAAAAACACCCACAGGGAAACAGCAACCCTCAAAACCAGGTCATGCCTCATCACCAGGGAGGAGCTGCCTCTTCCTTACAGTGATGGACAGAGACATGAATGCACCTGGCCACCACGCTTGTCTAATTATTGACAATAGGGGGTCAAAACCAGGACCTTAGGAATAAGAAATGCATTTAAATGTCTGGTCACATAAACACACAGTTTGCATTAGCAACAGAGATAACCAGGCCATTGCCTATGAAGGATGACAAGAGAATATTGAACTTGTAAAAAGCTCAACTTCATTTTCAGGCAACCACACCAGGACTACTCTCACTCTGTGAGCAAGATTTAATAGCAAAGCTAACACAAATTGCCATTGACCACTCTTCAGTTTTTGTGTGTCTACTCCTTGTCAAAATGAACATATTTAAATATAATTTATATTCAGAGGCAATATAGCTTTTTATGGTTGACTTCAAATAACGAAACTATACAAGCAAATAGAAACTGCAGTTAAGACCTGCAACATAGTGTGAGCTGAAGTGGAAAACAGCTCAGATGTGAAAGACAAACTGAATAACCTGAGCTTAAACAAGTGTGGTTATGAGGCGGATTCAAGCACTTCCAGGGAGAATCAAATATTAATTCATTGATTTTATGTCAGACAGATTTTTAAATTGTTCACATTTAATTTTGTAAAAGCATGATTGCAAAAAATTAGAGGCTATTTCTTCCAAAAATAGCTTGGCAGAGTCGTAATTTTCTGAAGCTCTTTTAAGGGTATGCTGCCTGATGTCTGACTGAATAGAATAGAGGTATTACCTGTCCTTATCCACAATTACTGTTGTAGGGTAAGACTGGTTACTTTTATTCCCAGTACCTAACTGGCCATATGAGTTGGCTCCCCAGGCGTAAATCTGACCTTCATCTGTTAGCACTAATGTATGTGCATAGCCACAGGCAACCTACAAATGAGTAATAAAAGAAAAAAAGTCTCATTTTTATGTAACAGCAAGTTAATACAAACACTTAATATAAACATTAGTGTTATTGGTTCTATATCAGTGCAAAAATGTCTGGTAAAAAATATAAAAATAAAAAATACAGATAAAATTACTAAAAAGGGAAGCAAAGATGATAAGTGACTTTAAGGAAAAAAAATGCATCACTGAGAAAACCTGTCAGGTTTCCAAGAACACCGCAAAAAAGCAGACAGAAATTGAGCAAGAAGAAAATTTGTACAGCAAATATGCACATTATGCTGAAAAAATAAGTTATACTATCAGAGCACTCATACTCTCTAAAGTAGGTGAAATAATATTCACTTCATTATGTTATTCTCCAACAGCAAGTGTTCCCAGCAAAGCTACTGCCCACATCCTAGAAACAAAACATAAAACCATCTAATTATACAATTTATTTTCAAAGATTAAAAAAAAAAAAATTACTACCTGGGCAAATGTATTAACAAGGATCCAAGGTTCAAAACACTCCTGTAAATCCTCACTAGACTACAAAAACAATGATTTCTAGCAGAGTGGGTCATTTTCATGACTGTATCCTCTTAAGATTAAACCTTTAAGATTTAACCCTTTAAGATTAAACAAAATTAAACCTTTTTAGTATCATTTTTACAGTCACTTTAAATATTTTTACTCAGTCAAAAGAAGCTAATAATTTGCTAGTTACAGTGAAGGTGGCCCAATTCTTTGGCAGAGTAAAATACCACCCAAGATTAGGACCAACCATGCATTCACACCAGCTTTTGACCAAACACAGTTGAAGATTATCCATTCATGCTCTGAGCTCCAATTATTCCTTGTGGCTCGAGCATGCAGTTCTAGAAATGATACTCAGCTCTGCCAGGAAGACAAAATGCTGCATTTCCCCAGAAAAGAAGATAGGGGCTAATGAAGAACAGAACAGTCAAAGATGACTGACAATTGTTACACTAGCAGAATTAAATTTCAGAGAGGAAAAAAAAAAAAGAGTTTTTAATTCCTTAGTCTTTTTTAGGCAAAAATCCTGACCTCACGAGAGCCAGTGGCAAAACTACCAGTGAACTCCACCAGGTCATAACTCCTCCTCCGCTAATGGTGGTTCATTTTAAGATATACATTTTTATTCCAACAAACAGGTAAAAAGAAAACAGGTAAAAGACTACCTCCTTTAAATGTAAGATATGCCTGAGCAAAAATACCCTGTATTTTCAGTTGTTCACGAAGGGTCTGGCACTCAGAGCTCACACCTACCCGCTGTACCCGAACGCCCTGCAAAGCTGCTATTCTGCACGGGGTCGGCTGGTTGCCACTGCCGCCCAGGCCCAGCTGCCCGTTCCCGTTGTAGCCCCACACATACACCTGGAAAACAAAGACAAGGCTTCAGCTATTTGGCGTTATTCATTACTTTGGAAATTAAGTACCTCACAGGTGTAATAATGCCTCCTTGTTCCCCTTCCATAAAATGCACATGGATATAATGCATATAAAATGCATAAAATCTGCATTTTAACTCTATATGTATGTGTGCATATATGCCTATATATATATATGCCTGCGTATATATATTCATATTTTTCTGCTGTTTCTTCTGAACCTTAAATGATAAATTTTGATACAGCATCCCCAACATACAGCATAACACAAACTGCATCCTCCACTCAAATTCCATCCCTTCACGTTCTGCTTGCTCTGTAACGGTAGATTACATAAAACTACAATTCTTTTACTATGATGACTAGCTAATAAATGATTCACAAGGCCATTCCCCAGGACATAAAACAAAACTCAGTCAGAAAACTTCACTTACCTCTCCATTTTCTACAACAGCCATAGAGCACATCTGCCCACAGGCTATATTAATTATTATTTTATTTTGTAGGCAGCCAGTAACTCTTCGAGGAACTGGCTGATTAACTGTTGAACCAGATCCAACCTGGCCCGAGTTATTATAACCCCATGTATACACCTGTTGTAAAAGAATCATCATTAAAAAGGCTATATAATACACTTCTAAGTACACCAAGTCCTAAGACAGAAAGAACTTATACACATCAAAAATTGCATTTTGAGTTTATATGGTTCTTTCAAAGATCTGGGTTGATAGACTTATGATTTAATTGTTTCTATCATAAATATGACATTTCTGTATTTCTCTCCCTTACCTTCCTCCAGTCAAAGGCAAGGAAAACATGAAAGCTGCATTAATACTTTTTCATTTTGTGGGTGTGCTTTAAAACATTTGTTGACAGAGGCACTGAAGAATCCACATTTTAGTTTTCCAGAACCCAAAGTGGAATGGCTAATTCCACTTAGCCATTGACACAAATGGCACTTCATAATAATCAAAAAAATCTCACTTCAATGGGCTGAACTCACTCACTCCTTTAGTTAATGGCAGATTTAACGCTGTTAAGAGACTACCCTAGAGTAATAATGCAGGAAGTGACCAACTGGCCTCTGCAAATAAATGATAGTCCCTTATTACCAGCAGATGCTATACAAAAGCCTATGTCCTGCACTTCCAAGTGGATAGACCCAGACAGACTTTCCATTTTCATTAAACATTTGTCTTGTATCAGTATTGTGAGGACGGCAAGAAACAGGATGTAATGCTGTTGTATGTTTGGTTATATGTCATGTATGTTGTATGTTTTCCTGTTTCAGATATTTGAACTTAATTAAGAGAAAAGAGAGATTTATCTAGTACTTCTCACCTCTCCATCAGATGTTAACACCATAGAATGATGAGAGCCACAGGCAACTTCAATGACTTTCTTGGTCACCAAGTTAGTAGAGACTTGACATGGAACCAAACCATGATTTGTGGCACCATTGCCCAACTGACAATAAGCATTATGACCCCATGTATACACTTCTCCTTCTATAATAAAAACGTAAAAAGCTGTTTTAAATTTTCTGCCTTTTCAATGACTACAAAGCATAAAATTACAATTTGAAAAGTCAAATTCAACAGCAAAATACATAGTTAAATATTTACACAATCTCTCTGGTTCTTAATTCCACATATGAACACTACAGTCTTAGTAAAACAAACAGATAGCCAAAAGAAATGCAATAGTACATACAGAATAAAAGATAAAATGACAGTCAGGAGTCCCCATTTCAATTTCTTTCTTTGTTACCAACCAATTTCTGATTCTGATAACACAAATTTCTATGCCTTGTGTTTCCTACTTTTGAAACATTCAAATAAACTTTTCGTTTATTTGCAACGTACATAAACTACATGATGTTAATACTTAGCAATTAAAACTTCAAGAGACATGTTACGGGGAACACAAGAAATGCCTGACAGAGTCAGAGCAATGGTCTATCTATTTAATGCAGAATTCTGTCTCTGACAGTGACAGTAGAAGAAAAATGCTCTGTAGAGGAAACACATGAGCCTAGTCACTTTTTTCAGTCCATTCCCCTTGTGCTTCCCAAGCACCTACAGTCATTCCACTACAGATATTATCAGCTACAATTTTTCTGATTCTCCTTAAAGTACATGTGTAGGCAAGTTATCCATGAGGCTGTCTAACACTTTTGCACTACGTAAAAAACAACTTTCATCTGTTTTAAATCAAGTGCCCTCCAGGAACAGTAGTGCAGGGTTTGGTGAAAGGCAGGTATACATTCACCTTGTCCACTGTCATCATGGTTTTCTAAAGCTAAATTATGCAGTTATTCCAGGAAAAACAGGCAAACATCTGACATATAACTCCTTCAGATTTCTAGAGACCACCAGACTCCTTATCTGATATTTTTAATAGTAAGAAGAAGGGCTCCCATTGCCACCCTCAGAACTGCAAAGGCAGTACGTGCTACACTTACTGTTCTTCTACAGGAGCTTAAATCTATTGACTTTATCCTGCTAAAAGCAAATAACCTCCTTCTTGTTTTGACACAACTTGTGTTCAAACTTGTTTAGACTATGAGGACACAAATTCTAGTAAATAAGAGAAACAGGGCCACATAGAACCACATTCTATAAACTGTAGGCAATGGAGATTCATTCAAGAATTGTGAATGATAAAGATTAATACAAGTTGTGGAATTGGCAAGGCTGTCTGAAAGGCAGGGTAAAAGACACTGCACTGAATAGAAGTTGTTCATGTGAACAAAGTTAACTAGTAGAAAACATCAAGGATCGGTTTTGGAACTGTTTTCATGCAATACTTCAGTTCATGACCCGGATAAGAGGTCAGTGAAATCCGACAGCATCAAAGCTGGGAAGAAAATGTGGATGTAGATGAGCCTGAAGACCAGACACACATTTCCAACAAAACTCACCTCATCTACCTTTAACCATCTAACCTAGACTAGTTACTTAGATCTTCTCTAGTTGGGACAAAGGGAGAGAAAGACTAAAGAGAAAGAAAAACTCTCAGTCAGGCCCTGATGTAACTTCACTGGGAACACAGTACTAGTCATTTGTACTTAATAATGAACAGATACACACAGAGGCTGCTAGAATGATGTGGGTGATAGAACTCCAGTGAGACCAGGAAAATGAGAGCTCAGCTTAGCCTGATGGCCAAGAGACAACATAATTGGTCACTAAAATGCATCCAGAAGTAAATACAGGAAAAAAGATGCAGTTTAGTTAAAGGACAGTGCTGGCACAAGAACAGTAGCATTTTTTAACAATCATACTTTACCTTCTGTAGCAAGAACAACATGAGGGCCACTTCCATAACTCAGACAGGCTATCTTTTTGCCACATAAAGTATCTAATCTCCGTGGTTCCATAGTGCTCTGGATGTCGCCCGTTCCCAAACACCCATTGCAGTTTGCGCCAAGCACAAAAACCTGTTATAAAAGAATCACAAAATCATAATTTAGGTTGGAAGAGACCTCCGGAGATCACCTCCTCCAACTTCATGCTCAAAACTATCTACCCAGATCTAATCAGATCTGATTAGACCTGTGTGCTCAAGGCCATGTCCTACTGAGTCCTGAAGACTTCCAAGGCTGGAGATTCCACAGCTACTTTGGACAGCCTATTCCAGGGTTTAACCACTCTCATTTTTTTCCCTAATACTGAATTAGAATTTCCCATGCTTCAGTTTGTCTCCCTTGTCCCTCATTCCATCGCCATGCACCTGCACGAAGAGTCTGCCCTCATCTTTCCTACCTCTGATCATGGTAGGAAACCATTAGTATCAAAGAACTTAAAATATAAATTGATCAAAATGTTTTCCTATGTTCCTATGTACCTACACTACCTTTCTAGGTATACTAGCATAGTTACTGCTTTCATTATAACTTGACAAATGGATAACACAATATGCCACGTTCACACACATTTTTGGACAAATACCTCATCATTTTCAGTTGCATACAAGACTTCATTACCAGCACTGCCAAATACACAGGCTTGACGAATTAATCTGAGCTCCTCTTGGGAACAGAGAGAAAAAATTGGCCATTTCCCAACATCCAGCATCTTTAGAATGGAAAATAAGGTTGCTTCCAAAGCCTGAGATTATAAAATGATACCAAATACATAAAAAGCGACAAGCATACAACTTAGTAAAGTAGAAGTATAAATTTATAGAAACAGCATTCTCTCTTATTTCAACACCAAAACAATATTTCACCTGGAAAAATGCTTGAAAGGAAGATATTATAATAAACAAATAAACTACAGTGTTTGCATAAAGTACTATGTAAAAAGTTAGTTGCTAAGGTCATATTTCTGCTATATTCATATAGCATATCATCTCCTAATTTACAGGAGTAAAACTGTATTATCAAAAGCACCCAACACCTGTAATACTTTTTTTTTTTTTTTTAAACACAAAAAGTAATTGTGAACTTTGTAGGCCTTAA